GGGGGGGGGGGGTTACTATACCCATTTCCCAGCCAATATGGTTTCCAAATCCCACTTCCCAGTGCTCAAATCCCATTCCCACAAGCAGAATTCAGACAAAAATATTCCCAGTGTTATACATACCAGCTCTTTTCTCTTCGCATCCGCAAAACAATGGCTTCTAAATGTGACCAACAAAGACCCAAAAGTGTACGAGGATTTGCGAAGATGTTCTGAAGAGGATATGAACCTTTTAAACTGTATAAAAACATGTAAATAGGAACGTTTTCGCCTTACTTAGGTATAAAAGTTCCCGCCACTTCACATTCCTGTCATTCCTGCCTGCCGCGAAATCTGTTTTCCAACTTGTAAGTGTTTTTATTCTTCCAAGCTTGGTTGAACGGATTATGCTCAGTGTTGTTTCAACAGCGGTCTCACCTTTCCTTTAGAACCAGTGTCACTCTCACTCACACTAAAGCTGTCTATCTCTTCGTTAGGAGATTCTTGTGGTAATTAAACTGGCATCATCATTTAAATTAGCCGGTTCATTACTTTCGCTTGGAACTCTCTACTCCTTGCAATGACTTCAAATTGGCTGGTTTCAAGACCCTTTCAGTTTTATATAAGTTCAGAGGCAAAGTGTCCGCCCTGTCCATTGTATTATCTTGTTTTACATTTCGTTGTCAGACGGATTTACCATGCATTTTAGCTAAGGCCCTCATTTCAGCATGTTCATTTCTGCTTATCTCCTGTGAGGTTGACTTTGAAATTTTTAGGCAAGGGAACTGTATAAACTACATGTGATGCTGGCAGTTTGCGAAATGAATTTGGAGGTGTGTATAATGCTGCTGCCCACTTGGAAACCCTTTTCACCGCTTCTTCAACTGATGTGCCAAACTTCATTACATATAAATTCACACAAAGCAAAAGCGTCTCTCTAAATATGTGTCACGCCATGCTGATTTCTAATATGAAAGGTTAAGATCCAGTGCCTCCACATTGGATCTCATTTTGTAACCAGGAAATACTGACAAGTCCTGTACATGTTGGATCTGGATATACATGCTCAAAATTGACACAAACAAGGTGCTTGAAACATTTTCTGTCGTTTCTCGATCCGCAAAAAATAAGTGATGTCTCGATTGGTCATGGTTACAAAATATTTATTCCATTCTCATTCTTGACATTTTTTTCCCAGTCCCAGTGACCTAAATCCCATTTTCCCAAGACAAAAACAGACCAATCCCATTTTACCCCTTCAGGAACCTCAAATTATAAAAACTAAATGAAAGATGACTGTCTCGGCAAAACGTAGCTCGACCTACGTACAAGTGTGTACAAAGAAAACAAAAATCAATAAAAAGAAATCCATAAGTCTTGTGTAAAGTGAAATATCAACAAAAAAAATATATACAAGTTGTAGTCAAAGAAAAAACATCGAGAAGAAAGGTACAAATTGTGCATAAGATGGAAAAAAACAATCAAGAAAATGAAAATCACAATTTGTATGCAAAGAAAAAAGATCGATAAAGTTTACGCAGAGCAAGAAAACATCACAAGTTTTGGCGCAAAATGGGAAATCAAACCAAAGATACGAACAGATTTTTCTCAAAGTAAAAATTCAATAAGAAGAAATACACTCGCTTTGCGCAAAGCGTGAAAACAATAAACAGAAATGGGAAATCAACAAAACAAAATGAACAAAGTGTACGCTAAATGAGAGTCTAATATTTTAATGCACAAGCTGGGCACAAGGAAAAACAAATAAACATGAACCTTTCGGCATAGTGTGATTGAGGTAGAGTTTTGGATCACTGTATCGGGATTGTCTCTCAGCTTGATATTTTTACTTTGCCAGGTTTCAGTACTGTTCTTATGGTGCGAAGTTCAAATTTCTGCATTCGAATGACCTGCAATTTTTGTTTGAAGTTGGGAGATTTTAAACTGAAACTGATCATTAATTACCTAAGGTATTCACTGAGTGCATCACCAAGAACTGAAAGTTCAGCGGCCGAGAGGATCTGGGAATTGTCAATTATTGTGTTACATATAAGTTCATGCAACGCAAACAATCGTGTCACTTTGGACGCTGTTTTAATTGGCCACAGAGCAATATCGCGATAAACAGCGATACTCTGATTGGCTGCAATTAATAAGCTGGGCTTGGGAAGGGGACAAAAAGAGGTTATATAATGACAACACAACAACATTACAACAGTCTCGAACAATTTCTACTTGTTTCATTATTAAAGAAAATTGTGGGTATAATAATATTCTTGGCTGGTACAACTTGGACGTGCCCTCGATAATTCGCCTACTTGCTTTATGAACGGTAATATAGCCGTTGAAAATAAGACTTATCCGGCATCCTAATTAATATATTATGGGTCCGTTATATATAATACCCTGTTTTGGCCATATTAACCTTTTAAACGTGGGCGTCAAATTGTTTTTATCATATAAACTTGCCAAGCGTTATTAACGTACCAGCTCTATATGTTTAAGCAGCCAATATAACTGGTTAAATGCTCATAGTGTTTGGTTGTCTTCATAACATCTCTTATTCACTCCAGTGAAAANGAAAAAAAAAAAAAAAAAAAAATGGAATTATTAAAAATCCTAAACACTCTAAGAATAATCAACTCAAAATGATACCAGAATATCACAACGATGTCAGAAGTATCTCTCTCGAGGGGAACTCTGACAGAATTTAAACTAAATGAAAGATGATGGTCTTTAACAAATTACGTATATTGATCTATGAATACGAGTACCATCACACGTGAACAGGAAGGACAAAACTTGTCCCTTGTCTTGTTTATAATATGTGGTACACACTTAAAACAATAAAACTAAACTAGACTTATTCGATAAAAAACACAAACTGTCAGTATGTTTTAACTAGTCTGTACCCAGATCTTGCCACAGCCTAAGACTGTGGAGTTCTGAGTAAGAGATTATCCTCCACCTTAAGAAATGATTCATTCTTTTGGTAAGAAAAGTTTGTCACTGATTTTGTATAACACTAATTTGATGCAAAACGCGTTTTAAAAACCTCCTTTCGCTTCAAAAATGCGACAAGGTTCTCTACTTCATTTTGCCACTTATTTTAGGACATATATTTTTTTGCTTTTGATATCAGAAACCAAAATGCGACCATCTGGTGCTGTAGCTATGTAAATTGGTTCTTGTAGTCCAGTAACAGTTTTGCCAGTAAAACAACCTTCCACTGTAAACTGTTGAATGCGACCATTGTCTCTGTCACATACAAGAAGATTCTGACGATTGCCATATTTCTCAACACACAAACCCCAAGGCCTGGACACGTGTCCATCAGCCTTGCCTGTTTCTCCAATCTTGTACAAAAACTTCCCTGAACTGTCAAATACGTTCAAGGAATTGTTCCTGCAGTCAGATACGATGAACATGTTTTTGTGATGAATGCATCCAGTGGGTTTGTTGAGCTTCTCTGCGCCGCTATCTCCAAATTTAAACACAGGTTTACCATCCTTTGTCAAGACCTGGATTCTGTTGTTTGCGTAGTCGGCTACAACAACATTTCCGTCACCATCCATACAAACGCTTTCTGGATTCTGAAACTCGCCCTCTCCTGTTCCTTTCTTTCCAAAGCTTTTCACAAAGTTCCCTGTCTGTACATTGAACTGCTGAATGCGGTGATTATGATCATCTGCCACCAGAATCTCGTCATCATTCAGGTATGTGACGCCACGTGGATAGTTGAACTGTCCAGGATTCTCTCCATAGCAGCCAAGTTTTCGCACAAACTTTCCTTCCTTATCGTATATCAAGACACTGTGTCTTTTCGAGTCAGCTACTGCGATCAGCCCGTTACTGTTAACAGCAATCCCCTTTGGATCTTGTGGCATTTCTCCTTTTAAATCTAACTCGCCCACNTATCGTATATCAAGACACTGTGTCTTTTCGAGTCAGCTACTGCGATCAGCCCGTTACTGTTAACAGCAATCCCCTTTGGATCTTGTGGCATTTCTCCTTTTAAATCTAACTCGCCCACGATCTCAATCTGTCGTTTCTTCACCTGGACAGCCAAGGGACTGTTAGCAAGTTTGTCGCCATTTATCTTTACTGTGATGTTGTGCCTGCCTGGTGCTTTTGGGATACATTTCACCTGGAAATTTCCATCTTCTTTTCCACAAATAATCAAACTTCCTTCTTGTTCAGCGGGTTCCACGAGAACTTCAACGTGTAATTTTTGTTGAGTTCCCCTCGTCAGTTCTTCTTTAGATATTTTAGGACAGACGAGAAACTCTGCTTCTAAACCAGCTTGGAAATTTTCAGTTATTCCTTGAACTGTGGAGTGATGTACATCTATTTCGCTGGTTGCCACGAAACCAAGGCTTAAACTCTCAGGTGCAATAGTCGCGACAAACTTGACGAATGAGCTAACCGGAAGTGCTGGAGCTGCGGTCTTGTTAAGATCTTCAAATCGCTGTTCCAAGTTCTTGTTGTTTTGCATGATATCCGAGCTTGAGCTTCTTTGAACCAGGTTATTTGCGAACTCAACTGCCTGGTCGATTTGCTTGGCCGAGGACTGTGTCTGTTTGTTGACACAATCTAATTTCTCCGTTCTCGTCACGCCAGTGTTCCGGAGCTCA